TTTGTTAGTATGGATTGTATGATCTCCATGATCTCTAGTACATATTAAACTCGCTTTAGTTAGTAAACTCCACCCAAACTTTTACACATTCCTTTCATTTTTAAGAAATGGTTCCTCATTTTTCGTGTTTTTTTATACAACTCAAATATCATTGAATCGCTGCGAGATTACAGCTATGTCATTACATAGCGACATAATCAACAAAATAAACATACATGATCAATCCAAAATTTCTTTTTATCGAGTAACACCTGATTAATGCGACATATGAATCATAATATGCACTAATCATTCCCGAATCTCCACACAAATATTTAATATTTTGATTCTCTTTCTTCTTTCTCTCTCTCTCTCTCTTCAAATTCTCTCTGAGCATCTCTAGGGTTGTGATGGCCGCCGTCGTTGACGGAGCCTCGCCGGGCGCCGTTAGCGGCGGCAGGTCCTGGGCATTGTTGTTTCACGTGGCGGAGGAGAATAGATTGGAGTATTTTGAGCCTGAGATGGTGAATGGCTCACTTCGAATTCCCAAATCGGTCGTCGAGGAGGGGGTGAAGAAGTGGGAGCATAGCCTCGTCGGGCAGTTCCTGGTTGCTCTTCCATCGTTATCGGTGCTTCGGAATTGGGCTAATTGGATCTGGGGTAGGGATGGAGCGGTCAAAGTTTCGTTATTCGAAGATCATCTTGTTCTTTTCCAGTTTCCCACGGAAGAGGTGTGCCGATGGGTGTTTGAAGGAGGACCGTGGCATTTCAAGGAGAAGATTGTGTGTCTCAGACGATGGGTTCCTAGGATTCGAGCACTGGAAATTGATAATACTGTGATTCCGGTTTGGATCAATCTCTCTGGGCTTCCTGCGGAGTTGGTCTTACAGGAGGGGTTGGGTCGAATTGCCAGTGCGGTGGGGAAACCTCTGTGTATGGATCATTCCACTACGAGGCGGGAACGAGTTGGTAGAGCTAAGGTTTGTGTGGAGATAAGTGCGAAGATGGCAAGAGTTGATAAGATCAGTGTCACTCCAGATGATATGGCAGAGCTTTTTATTGGTGTAGAATATTGTGGGCTGCCGAAATGCTGTGCTAAGTGTCAAGTATTTGGGCATGATTGTGCATCTCTGACTTCTGGGGTTCAGACAAAGCAGGTTTGGAAGGTCAAGAAGACTCGGGTGGTTTCTATGGAGCAGGATGGGGACGGTGAGGTAGCTAAGGAGGCTGGATCAGTAGCAATGGATAAGGGAAAGGAAGTGATAGTTGATGCCACCCCTCCAGTGACTCCTAGTGCACTCCCTTCTCATGAGGAGTTTAACAAGGTAGTCAATGGGGTAAAGGCTAAGTCTAAGAAACCTGCAACGCCTGTTATCCATTCAAACGCGTTTGAGCTGCTGTGTGGTAGTAGGATGGTCACTTTGAAGTCCCCACCAAAGAAGACAGTAAGAGAGGGGTTACGGAGTCAGGGAGGAGCCACTAAGGTGGTGCAATCTCGTAAATGACTGCTCTTATTTGGAACACGAGGGGCTTTAATAGCCCGTGGAAGCATGGAAAAATGCTTCAGTATATGAAAGTGAATAAGGTGACTCTATTTGCTTTATTAGAAACTAGAATACAAAAACCAAAAACAGTTATAGAAGTAAGACAGAAGTTTTGTGACTATCAGTTTGTAGATAATTATGATAAGCATAAATTAGGAAGAATCTGGATTGGCTGGAGTGCTGGAGTTCGATTGAGGGTCTTGAATGCAGAGGCCAATTACATTCATACTTTAGTTACTTGTGAGAATAATGATGAGTTTTTCTTTACTGTGGTTTATGGATCTAATGAAGAGAAGGAGAGGTTGCTTACATATAGATGCCTGAGTAAATGGAAGGTGCTGGGTTTTCCCTGGATGATTGGAGGCGATTTTAATGCTTTTTTGCATCCCTCAGAGGCTTCAAATGAGGTTCCCATTACAACTAGCACTATTGATTTTAGAGAGTGGGTTAGACAGATGGAATTAGTGGATCATACTGCCACTGGACCTCTGTTTACGTGGTCTAATCAACAGAAGGACAATCCAATTGCAAGGAAGTTAGATCGTCTGATGGTTAATGTTGAATGGTTTACAAGTTTTTCTGAGAGTGTGGTTGTGTTTCTAGCCCCAGATTTCTCAGACCATTGTGGTATTCTGCTTACATTTAGACTTCCAATGAGGAAGTTCCCCAAACCGTTTAAATTCTTTGATATGTGGCTGCAGCAGGCTTCTTTTAGTTCTCTCTTGGAAACAAGTTGGAACGCACCAGTCTCAAGTGCTGGGTTAGGGGGTATTAAGCAGAGACTGAACCTTTTGAAGCAGGAATTGAAGACTATGAATAAAAAGGAGTTGTGGGACATCTCTAGGAAAGTATTGGAGAAGGAAGAGGCGATGAAGGCTGTTCAGTTAAAGTCTCTAGAGACTCCATCTCAGACCCTCTTTGCAGAGGTGAAGCAGGTGACAGAGGAATACATGCATTTGAGACAGGCAGAGGAGTCTTTCTTTAGGCAGCGATCCAGAGTGTCTTGGCTTTCCTTGGGTGATATGAATTCTTCTTTCTTTCATAGCACTGCAAAAATACGAGCTGCCAGGAAACAGATTAGGAAACTTATTGCTTCCTCAGGAGAAGTACTTACTGATGTGGGGGATATTGCTGAGGAAGCAGTAGGATATTACAAACAATTGTTTGGGGTGGTGAACCAGGACGTCTCTGTGGATGGGGCGTTTATTGAGGGGTTTCTAGTGCATAAGCTAGGTCAAGAAGATCAGAGACTGTTGTGTGAGGATGTCTCTAGCAGGGAAGTTCATGATGCTCTTTTTGATATGAATCCAACTAAGGCGCCAGGGCCAGATGGTTGGACTGTGAGCTTTTTCCAAAAATGTTGGGGGACTATTGGTTCTGAGGTAGTGAAGGGTATTCAGCAGTTTTTTACTGACTTTACAATGCCGAAAGGTATGAACTCTGCCTCATTAACATTAGTACCTAAGGTTGCCAATGCTGATCAGATGAATGTTTTTAGGCCTATAGCTTGTATTAATGTCATTTACAAAATTATTGCCAAAGTACTAGCTAATAGGTTGAAGAGTGTGCTTGCCTCTGTCATTAGTAGGAACCAGTCAGCCTTTATTAAAGGTAGAAGCATTGTTGAAAATATACTGATGGCTCATGAGATAGTGCATAACTACAAGAATGTAAAAATCTCTTCGAGGTGTGCTGTCAAGGTGGACCTAAGAAAAGCTTTTGATTCAGTAGACTGGGGGTACTTAAGGGTGGTTATGGAAAAAATGGGATTCCCAGAGAAGTTTATGAAATGGATTGCTGTATGCTTAAGCTCAGCTATGTTTAGTATATCTGTTCATGGTAGTTTGTTTGGTTTTTTCTCTGCTGCAAAAGGGGTTAGGCAAGGAGACCCTCTGTCCCCTTACTTATTCACCATAGCTATGGAACCCCTCACTGGAATGTTGAACCAAGCTGCTTCCCAGGGTGTTTTACCTTTTCATCTACAGTGTAGAAATCTGGGTTTGACTCATTTAAGTTTCGCTGATGATTTATTAATTTTTACTGAGGGATCAGCATTTGCTCTTTCTGGATTAAGGACATTACTGAATACTTTCTATACATCTTCTGGGCTTCAGTGTAATCCGGACAAATGCGAGGTGTTTTTTGGGGGTTATGCACATCAGTTTAAACAGCATGCCCTTAACATGTCTGGATTCAAAGAGGGGTCTTTCCCTGTGAGGTATCTGGGTCTTCCTCTTCTTGCTGGTAAGTTGTCTAGCAGGGAATGCTCTGTGTTGATTGATAAAATTACTAGCCGAGTCAGGAGCTGGAGAGCCACAAAACTTTCTTATGCTGGGAAGATCCAATTAGTGGAATCTGTCATCTACTCTTTGATTCATTTCTGGATGGCTGTTTTTCTTTTGCCAAAGAAGGTTCTCAAAAGCATACAGAAAATTTGCTCTGACTTCATCTGGCATGGGGACAAATCAGGGCGAGCTAAGGTTGCTTGGGAAGTTTTAGCTGTACCAAAGAGAGAAGGGGGATTAGGCTTAAAAGACTTGATTACCTGGAATGTTGCCTCCATGGCTCGACTTATTTGGCTGCTTCTCCTGAAAGGAGGTAGCTTTTGGGTAGCCTGGATCGCTCGATATAGGCTGCGTGGTGTATCTATTTGGGAGGTGAAACCAGCACAGTCAGGGTCCTGGATTTGGAAGCAAGTCTTGAAGGTTAGGTCCTGGTTACATTTCAGGATGGATGGGGCACAGGGTTATGTGACTTGGTTAGGGAAACGAATGGACAAATATTCAGTTTCCACTGTTTGGGAAACAATTAGGAGGAGGCAGTCTTGTGTTACCTGGTGGAAAGTTATATGGAACAAATTTGGGATCCCAAGACATAGTGTTCTGGTCTGGCTGATCATTATGGATCGGCTTGCTACTAGAGACAAGCTCAGAAAATGGGGGGTGGTTAGTGATAGTACCTGTGTATTTTGCAGGATAGCAGAGGAATCAAGAGACCATCTTTTCTGTCACTGTTTTTACATTCAGGAGATGGTAGGAACTCTGTTGCGAGGAGGAGTGGTATTTCCTGGAAGTTGGGTCGAGATGCTGGATGGTATAGTGGCCAGAGTTAAGAAGAAGGGAAGCTGTGGTATGATTGAAGCAACAATCTGGTGTTGGTGTATTAGTGCAGTTTGGAAGGAAAGATGTCGGCGAGTTTTTGGTGACCAGCAGTGTGCTGCTGATGTTTTGGCAGAACGGATCAGGGAGGATATCAGACTGTATGCAGTGGCGAGATCTGATTTCCAGCTTCTTTTGAGCAACACTGTTTCCTGCTCTAGTTGTTTATAGATGTAGGAATCTTTGTGTTGTTTGTTTTGGTATTTCCTTGTAAAGGGCTACAGTGGGCAGTTTGCCTATGTATTTTTCGACCTCTTGTGCTAGTTAAAGCCAAGGGTGAGCTTCAATGGTAAAACAAACTTACCGGAAAAAAAAAAAAGAATCTCCACACAAATTGCCGAAGTGGATCATTCCTCCCATTTAGTTAACAAAAACATTAATTTACTAAAACAACACAAAAAAGTTCTAATTTCACTCATGTAACATGTCATTCCTACGTTGGAAAAAAAAAAAAAAAAAACCTGAAACCTAGTTATTGATATTTTTTTTTTTACTTTTGTCCCCCCTGTTTCGACTTTGGTAACGACCTTATTGTTTTATTTTCTTCCTCATTTGCATAACATAAATGAAGAGCCTAACTCTGCTGGTATGGGATCGGAACTAATTTCAGATCATTTTTCCTAGTAAGTGTGGCTCCAAACGACTCTTCCATGTCCAAATCTCCTGCCTTGATCCCACCTGCAAGCTCCCAATCAAAATGGTACAGAAACTTGGCCAATGGCAACTCAACATTCACCATGCCAAACACCATCCCGGGACACATCCTCCTCCCCGCACCAAACGGCAGGAACTCAAAGTTCGAGCCTTTAAAATCGATAGAACTGTTGATAAACCTCTCAGGACGAAACTCCTCGGGTTCCTTCCAGTATTTCGGATCCCTCCCCATCGCCCACACGTTCACGATGACCTTGCTTTGTGCCTTTACTAGAAACCCGCCGATCTCGCAATCCTCGTTGCTTTCCCTCGGAAGCAACAGAGGCACAGGAGCGTGTAGCCTCAGTGTCTCCTTGATCACTAGTTTCATGTAGTGTAGTTCGTGAAGCAATGTCTCGTCCACTCCCCCTTTTGGTCCGAAAACTCGCCTTACTTCTGCTTGTACTTCCTGAAGAACTCTACGATTCTTCAACATTTCTGACATTGCCCATTCTACCGTCGTCGAAGACGTCTCACTTCCAGCAATGAAAATATCCTTAAGAAAGAAACGAACACAATTTAAGTTATTTCTAATCAAAGAACATAGTTCTGAAATAACTTGAACTTGAAATCCGTTGATTTGAAAATCCTGATTTGATACGAATAGCAAAACAGTATAATGGAAATTTTCTTGGGGCACTTCTTACGAGAATGACGGCTTTGATGTTGTCATCGGTAAGGGGGAAATCCAGCTCGCCATTACCCTGAAGCCTCAAAAGAACATCAACCAAATCGTCCACCTCGCCGGAGGCGGAATCTTCCGTACTTCCCCTGCTCCTATGGTCGGCGATTATACACCCCAGCATCCGATCAGCTTCACCTCTCAGCTTGAGAAGCGTGGATCTCATCCCGCTCAAAACGTGGAGCAATTTCACCGAAGGGTACAAATCGGCGAGGCTGAATCCACCGGCGGCGCGAGTGATGTTCTCCACCACGGGAATGAACTCGTCCTGCCCATTGTACTTCTTCCCGAAAGTGACCCTGGCGGCGATTCCGTGGGTCAGGGAGAAGAGCATCCGGCTGAAATTCAGCTCCCGACCCGCCGAATCTGCGATTCGGGTCACCGCGTTGGAAACCTCTTCCTCCCGAATCGACCCGAAAGATTTGACCCGCTTCGCGCTGAGGAGCTCCAGAATGCAGATCTTGCGGAGCTGGCGCCAGTAGGCGCCGTAGGGGGCGAACGCGATGTCAGTGAAGTTGTAGCTGACGATCTCGGCGGCGAGCAAGGCGGGGCGCTGCGCGAAAACGACGTCGTGCGTCTTCATCACTTCTTTTGCGGCTTCTGCGGAGGTGATGACCAGGTGGGGGACTTGGCCCAGCTGGAGGCCCATCACGCCGCCGTACTCCTTTGCGAGGTCCCGGAGGCGGTGGTGAGGCAGGGATCCGCCGGCGAGGTTGTGGAGGTTTCCGATTATGGGCAGCTTCGTGGGTCCCGGAGGCGGCGGGGCTGCAGTGGCGGCGGCGGAGGGGTTTGATTTGCGGTGGAATTTGAGGAGGAGGAAGGGGACGAGGAAGAGAAAAGAGGCGAAGATGGCTGGGTACGAGAATTCCATGGCGGGTGGAATCGAATGAGGAATTAATGAACGGGGCTGTGGAGGAGATGAGTGTTGTGGTATTGTGGAGAAAGAAACTCGTGCACTTTTATGGAGGGGGCGACGGAGGGTCAAAACAGCAGAAGCAGAGCCATTATTGACCGGAGAAAATGGGTTTTGTCTTCTTCTTCATTCTTTATTCATGGGAACTGCTGAAGTAGAGGTCTGATGGCGTGACCAGATTTGCAAATTGCAATGATAATATTGAAAAGGTTTAATTCACCTGCGTAGCCATAATTTTCACGATTTTGACAAATATAGTCACTTTTTGAAAAATACACAGATATAGCCATTCCGTCTATAACTTTAACGGAATAGTAATAAATGCTGACTGTACTAACGATTTTTGCTGACATGGTGATTGTTCATTAAAAAACTATGCCTAGATGTAAATTATTCTTTTTTAATTAATTGAAAATTTCTAAAAACTACTATTCCCTTCCGTCGCTTATGCTTTTCCTCTTCCTCTTCCTCGCAACTCTCAACCTCCCACCTCTATTCTGCCGTGTCTTCAAGCTCTCCTCCCTCAATTGATTCAAGAAACCAGATCGCCTTGAAAAATCCCAAATCGTTTGAATTTTCACCATCAATAGCTCCACTGAAGCTCTGTAGACTTCTTCCCCTTCCTCTTCTTCTCTCGTCGCTGCCAATTCTTCAGCCGCATCCACCAGCTCCGTCGCCGACCAGAAGCAAGCGAGCCAGAGGACTCGACGCAGGCGGATTGCGTTCCGTGACGACAAGGATCGAGACGACGAGGGCTGGGGTGCTTCAATCCGTCGAAGATTACAAGAAAGAGAAACCCATTTAACAGGGAGAGAGAGGTTTGTGGCGCCGGCGGTGGGAGGGAGGAGTTAAGGAGGGAATGCGTTGAGCTTGGAGGGTTTGAGTTTTTGGATTTTGGGTTGCGGTGAAGCTTGGTGGGTTCTAAGTTTCTGGGTTCCACAACATCCCCACACCAGCATCTATTTTTTGTTCGTTGAGATTCCAATGTCGCTGGTTCTGGGTTTTATGGGGAAACTGGGTTCTTTATTATAGTGGCAGGCTGGCAGGAAGGAGTGGCGACTTGCAGTGAGGGGGGAGCTCCAGATCTGCACTTCGGGTCGGCGACGGAGCTGTGGGTGCGGAGGGAGGGGTGGCTGCTTCGACGATCCATAGCGAGCAGGGTCGTTCTCATTCATGCCCGGGATTCGACAGCATCATTAGCGGAGGAGCCTAGGAAATTTCAATCCTGCCGCTACTAGTGTAAAATAGCCCAGGAGAATTGATGGGGAAAGAGAGAGGGTTTGAAGGGAGGAATCATGAATTTGGATCTGGTGAAGAAGGAGGAGGGGAATTTGGGAAGACAAGCAGCGTAGTGGGAAGGGATGAATGAATAGAGAGAGAAAATAAAAATAATATATTTTATAAAAATTAAAATATTTTATTTTAATTTTTTTAGTAAAATTAGTTCTTTTTTGTTTAAAAATCTAATTTTAATATGACGTGGCATATGACATGGCGTCTGGGTGGCATGAATATGTCTAGTTGGTGATGACGTGTCATGCAAGTGGCATCTACCTCAGCGACACGTAGATGTTATTAACGGCGTCTATGATGATGTTATAATTTGTAACGGAAATGGCTAAAGTTGACAATCAAGTTTCACAAAAGTGGCTATATCTGTGTATTTTTCAAAAAGTGGCTATATTTGTCAAAATCGTGAAAGTTATGGCTATGCAAGTGAATTAAACCTATTGAAAACTAGATAACGAAAAGATACCTTGTAGTCTTGTACAGTTGTACCCGATCGATGGTATTTTGTTTGGATTAATAGCTACGCACGTTTATCTACTATGTAAAAGATACAAATAAGTACTTATGTTTGTTAACAAATAAGTTTTCGCACGGGTAGTTATCATAAATGGTCACAAACCTATTCACTTTGTACAAAACGGTCACAATTCTTTAATTTTTCACGTTTCGGTAACAAAGGTTTGAGCTAATAACGAAATGGTAAATCCGTCCAATTCCGTTCCAAATTCCGTCCTAGATCGCCCCGTCAACATGACACGTCAGTGTAATTAATAATTTAAAATTGGTTAATCAGCCCAATTGACCCGGCAATCCAACCGGCCAGAATAAACCCTTACCCATCCGGTCCCGAATTGGACTATTACCCCCAAATTCAGATCTGCGGGAGAAAGGGAGAAAGGCAGAAAGAAAGTCGTCGTAGATGATAGGAGAAGGGCCGATCGGACTTTTCGGCGGCGACGAAGAGGAGGATGGCGACCGATTAGCTGGGACTGCTCGGCGCCGAAAGAGGAGGAATGCGACCGATTAGCTGGGAATTCAGCGACGGAAGATGAATCGCCTCCACCTCCAGCACGTCGCTGCCTGTCTACAGTCCTGCCGACGAAAAGTCGGATGACGGACAAATCGGTTGGAGGAGCGCCGGTGTGGAGGAGGATGGCGGACGAATCGTTGGAGGAGGTCTGGTCGCCGACGACAGGAGAATCGTCACTCTCCCCCTCTCGTCACGACTTTCTTTATGCATTTCCGTTCCCGCCAGAGGAAACGACCAAACTTGAAGCACAGACAACAAAATCACCCTGTTCTCGTTTCAATCGCCCCTCTTCAATGGCCTCCGCAGGAGCCCACGTCCGATTCGACTCAGAGACAACAAGTTTTGAAGCACACATCGCGCAGATGACAAACTCACTCTTCTAATTCGACCCGGAATCACCGTGATGACCATCTTCTTCCGACGACGAGACCATGGAGGAAGAAACTATTTATTCTTATCTTTCTTCTTCTTCAGTTCGTTTAGTTTGGGGTAACGGAACAACGTCATTTCGACGACGACAACGGAAGAGCGTGCCGGAGAGGAGACATAGGAGGAATAAAGAAAGAGGGAGGACGAGGAGAGAGATAGAGGCAAAAAGTGTCCACTAGCCATGGAAGCACCACTGGAAGAGCATGGCAGTGTCGAGGAAGAAAATGGACGAGCTGGTGATAGTGTAAAGAGTCAAGATTGGAGGGTTTGGGATATCGAGCCTCTCGTCGTGACTTTCTTTCTCCCTTTCTCCCGCAAATCTGAATTTTGGGGGTAATAGTCCAATTCGGGATCGGATGGGTAAGGGTTTATCCCTGCCGGTTGGATTGCCGGGTCAATTGGACTGACTAACCAATTTTAAATTATTATTTATACTGACCTGTCATGCTGACAGGGCAATCTGGGACGGAATCTGGAATGGGATTGGACGGATTTACCATTTCGTTATTAGCTCAAACCTTTGTTACTGAAACGTGCAAAATTAAAGGATTGTGACTGTTTTGTGCAAAGTGAATAGGTTTGTGACCATTTATGATAACTACCCGTTTTCGCACTAACGACTTAGTATCAAATGAGCTTTTTTCGCTAGCGTATTTTTGGTCGGACTTTCGTTAGCAATTCACTTAAGTGGCCCGTCAAGTGTTCAATTTAATTGGAAAATGACATATATAGCATTTTATGATCCTTTTTGTTTTGTCAAGATATCTTCAATGACATCAACAACAACCTTATCGAAATCTGTTTCGACACAAAATAAGAGAGGGAAAAAAAAAGGAGTAATAGTAACAATAATAATTTAAGAGATTTTTACAATGGAAAAATATTCATATAAATGATTATATCTCTTTAGTTAATTTAACATTTATATTTATTAACTTTGATCTAAGGGATAAGAGAAGTTTAATCGCTTGAATAAACACATTCGATCCTCTCTCGTCAAATATAGGGATGCAAATAAGAAGGGGCATAAATACGTCGTTCCCACACAAATTACATGACTTAGACCCACACTTGAAGTTGATGGGCTACTTGGCGTTAATAGTAATGGAGGTGTTCAGTGCAGTAGTCATGTGCTTATTTTGTGAGAAACATAATAGGACTTATTTGTTATCTTTTTATAGTGCAGGACTTGTTTGTCAAATTGTTTATGGTAAGTAGCCAATGCAGTGAAAGGTGGAAGGAACCAAAAAGATTGAGTTGTTGGTTAGTGGTGGGCTGGTGGCTGGCTGCTACGCAGCAATGCAGCACAGCCAGCGTTGAAGTTGATGGTGGCGGCTAGGGATGGCAATGAGTCGGGTTGGATTGGGTTTTGCCAAATTCAAACCCAAATTCATGGATTTATTCGTGAAAAAAATTTGGGGTAAAACTCAAACCCAACCCAATCCGCTGGGTATTCGCGAGTTCATGGGTACCCACGAATTTTTGTCGTAAAAAATTTACAATAACAGACAACGGTATAGGAAAGGAACAAAATGCTACAGACAACAGCAGCACTGCAGCAGGGAATAATCCATTAGGGAATCTCGGGCATATATTTCATTTGGGCTCAAGTGAACCTGTGCAGGCCTGTCTAAATGTTACCATATGGCGAGTGTTAGATGTGGGCCGAGGATGAAAAAATATTATGGGTCGAGGATGAACTGGGCTGCACTCACGTCGGGGACTACGTGCGGAGAGGTGTGCAAGGATTGAGAGGCATATATATCTGTTGGGAGAAGCTAGGGTGCTATCCCATAGGGGTAGCACCATCCGGACGAAATTTAGCTGCAACCCGGGTTGCAGCCATCCCTTCCAGCCCGGCGACGTGGCATCATATAATTGGTTGGTTTTTTCTTAATATACATGCTTTCATTTTTATCTAACGGAGCTATTGACGGAGGGAATTCTCCCTCTTTCACCATAAACACTTTTTTCTTTTGCGTATTCATTATTTCATTATTCTCTCCTTTCCGTTAATTATTAGTTCTTTGCTTTGCTTTTCATTCTACTCTCTACTGCCTATACTTGTCCATTGCCATAAAATATTATTTAATTTTGTAGTCTTTCAGCCAAATACTTTTTTTTTATAACGGCAGATAATATTTCTAAATCTATAAAATAATAACTTATTTATTGAAATGTAAAAAATTCAAATATAGTGTAAACTTATGAAACGCAATTTTATTTATTATTTGTTGATTTGGCTATTTTATTTAGTATGTGGCGAATTTTAATAATTTAATTAATTGAGGGTTGAACATCTCCCTAGGTTGAATAGAGGACTACCAATTCATCATGTGGGTCTGAGTACGAGTGTAATTGTGTTCATAATGTTGTATTGGGTTTACCCAATTGTGGAAGTTAGTTGTGAA